CCGCAACTGCATATGGTTGGGTCCGTCGCCGGGATATGGTTGGGTCCGTCGCCAGGATAATGTTCCCCGCTCCCTCCCCCACCGCACCGAAGCTGTACACCACAGGCTGCCATACTAAGAGGCGCGCGCGGGATGTGACAAACAACATGCGCTAGAAAGCGCCGCTGTTTAAAAAACCCGTCGCGCTACAAACCGCAGTTGTTTTATAAAAGATTGCTTAGCGTCGTAAAGCCGCCAGCGTGCCCAAACTCACTTCCCACTGAAGAAAGCCAGCTACGCGTCGTAACGGCGCCGGCGCGCACTAAAGAAACCCTGCTACGCGTCGTCACGGCGCCCCCGTGCCAAGCGCACGAGCGGGGGCAGCGCAGATGGGTGCGACAACTACTGCTTGCGCGTCCCAAATTAATTAGCACGTATTACATGCGCTCCTGGACGCCGCGCAGCTGGGACCTGTAGACCCAGAGCACGTTGTCCCTCTCGTTCAAATGCCGAGCACGAGTTGTGTAACGACAACAACAAAGATGGAGTGAAGCAGCCTTGAGGTGGGGGGGTGAAAGGATATCACATTAAAACTTCGCGGAACGACCAGTTGGACAAATCAAGCTGTGGATGCCGACGGCCCGCCTCAAGGAGAACAGGATAGGACCAATAATGCTCTATCGAATCCGAATTTGACGTCTTGCAGCAGACGCACGGGGTTTTCTTTTGGAAGCGCCGAGCGGTTGTCCAGCCATTGCAAAGAGCATGGAGGCAGGCAGAGAGGACGCAGGGAGGAACCTGGCGCCGCAAGGTGGTCAAATTGCTGGCAGCGCACTACGCGCAGACGCGCAAGTTTGACGGACCTAGAAGATGGCTCCATCTATTCAACTGTTTCTGAAAAAGGCTTGAGCTGGGCACGCCGGAAACAAGCAGCCATGCAACTTCTTGTAAATTTTTGCTTGGTAAAATCTAGCCTCACCACGACTCGTCGTCAATGAAACTTCCATCGTGCTGAGTCCGATCTGTGCACGGTCCAGTACACGGATTGCTAACCGATTCAGCCACGATTGCCACCTCCTCATCAGCGGAGCATGGTCACTCAAAACAACACTGTGCAGTAGGTGGACGCTGTCTCGCCATCCAGGGCATGTGGTGGACAAGGTTCTGCCAGCAGATGCCAAGTGCACGGCCTTCACAGAACGCAACGGCACAGGCAGTCCGAGCCCGTCGAGGTTGAAGTCGTACTTCGGCGGTACTTAGCCAGTTCCCTGGCCCGGCTACCAGTTTGCGAAGCATCGCTCGCTCGGTCTTCAGGATACCAGCGGTCGGCTCCACAAGCTGCAAAACGAATCCAAACACGCTGATGGCGACGGAAGTGTACAGCAATACAGTGGCCGGAAAGCCGAGTGACAGATCCTCGATGTACTGCACTCTGTCCAAATACATGCGCATAGGTGCCACGAGGGATTGCAAGCCCGCTCCCAGACCGAGGAACACCCGAGACACTTGCCAGAACAATCACAACAGGAATCCGCCCCAAAGTCGAATATCTTCTTTGAGAAGCCGTGCGAAACGCTCCGATGAAATCGACCATGGGGGAATGATCGCAAATGTCCGAGGCTTGCTCGTAAGATTCGAAATGCGCGCGAACTCGTTGAAGAGAAATGCCGTGACAAACCCGTCCGTCCATATCCTCTGCAGTATTACGGCAATGTCGTCGGCCAAAGCCCGCACTAGACAGCGGTCATCCAAGTTATGAAGAAGTGCTCGCAAAAATGCGTCGATCGCTATCCCGAGAAGCGTCGGACTCAGGAGGCAACCCTGCTTGACGCCAGACGTAATGACGAAAACCTCAGTGGTGCTTCCGCCGAACCGCTAAACAAATTGCGCTCTCCCGATAAAGCCGCTGCACGGCCATAGTGATGGGCACTGGGATTCCGATCGCTTCCAAAGTCATCCAAAGAAATGCTAGAGATAAGCTCGGGAAAGCGGCGCCGAAGTCGTTCAGCAAACAAGCTGGGCAAAACCTGCCGGGCCATGATGTCGGCAAACCGGGTTCTTGCGAGTCTTTGGCCAAAACTGCGGTTGCAATATGGCCCTCCACCTCGATGACGTTGTCGAGCATCTACCACCCCTTGATGAATCCCCGCTGCGGGATGCAAGCCCATTTGCTTACCGCAAGCTCCAAAATCTGGTTAATGGAGGCAGCAAGTAAAACATCGGAATTGGCAAAATATAGGGGGCGAGTGTCTGGCACCGATCGGAAGCCGGAGGGGCCCGAGGCCAAATCGTGACCTTTGGCGAGTAAAGCAAGCCACGCACGATTGGCATCGCGAGGTAGTGGCGCGCCGCCTAGTCACTCAAGCAGTGCGGACATGACCCCTCGTGCAACAAAGACTGCGGGCCCGCGCCTTCGAGGCCACGGTCCTTCACAAGAACTCGGTGTGTCAAGCGCCTTCGAAACCACGACCCCAGGACAAACAACATGGATCCGCGCTCGAAAACCGGCAGACACCCGACGCTTTCGAACCAACCAGCCAGCCTGCCAACCGGGCGTTCAGCCAACCGACAAGCAAACCTCGTCGGCGAGCCTGGGGGGAAGTGAGAGGGGACGGGCCTTGTCAGAAGGCTCAGAAGTCCCCCCTAGAATTCGAAGAAATCTTCTGGGCCTTCTCCGAAGACACACAGAAGTACTCAGAAGGCGCGAGGGCTTCTCAGAAGCCCCGTCGCCTTCTGACAGGGCCTTATCCTCCTCAGCATCGACCTGGAATCGGCGATGCATCGCCGACAGATCGGCGATGGGCCCCCGACGGTGAATCCGCACGCTCCTGGGCGGGGATGGGGCAGTCGGGCCCCTATCGGCGATCCATGGGCGATTGGGGGTCGATGCATCCCCCCCTTGCATATCCCTCCCTGTCGGTGCCCCCGTCGCTCGCCGCCGAGACTGGCAAACCGCCCTGCCAGCCGTCAATCCAAAGACGGCGGGCCAAACATCAGCCGCGCTGCCAGCCAACCAACCCTGTCGACCCACATCCACGCAGGCAAAATCAGGGGGGAAGGGGGGGGGGGGGCGGCTCAGGGCGACGCCCGTCGGAGAATGTAGTCGCGATACCGAAGGATAAGGAGAGAGTACGAGAGAAGGAGTTGGAAGAGGAACACCGCTTCGGAGCAGGGAGTTGAAGGAAGAAAACCGTTTCGGAGGAGGGAGTTGGAGGAGGAAGGGGTTGGAGGAGGGAGTTGGAGGAGGAGAAGAAGGAGGAGGAGCTCGAGGAGTTGGAGGAGGAGGCTCGGAGAGTTTTTGGAGGGAGCCTCGAGGGCGAAGGTGGAGGAAGAAAGAGAAAACACGCTTCGGAACGCTTTGTCCCACGACAAGTGGGCACCGCGCCGGCTTTGACGAAGGCCAGCGGCAGGGCGAGCACCGCGGGCATCACCGGGAGGTCAGGCCGGCCCATACGCGGTGGCTCGCTGCACAGCACGAGGACGCAGTGCGCACCTCCCGCACGAGCCTGCCGCAGCAGCGGCATGCGGCATGCAGGCCGCGGCCGCGCGCCTCGCCGATGGTCCAAGGCAGCACACGGGAGGCGGACATAGGAAAAACATGGAAAAAACACGATACCGCTGCTCCACGGGAAGACGGAGCCAAGACGAGGACAACATCGGATGAGGATAAATCGAAAATCTCTGAGATTCGGTGGCTCTGGAGGATGTCTCGGGCGCCGCGGCCTTCTCAGAGCGTTCCAGAACGCTCTGGAACGGACTTAAGCTCGTGCAGGCCCCGTCCGACCACGGACCTCCCTCGGGGTGCGGTCTGACCAGAATTTCGAAGCGAATCCAGCCGTGGCGACGAGGGCAACAGCCGTATCGGTACCTTCTCTGAGAGCAGCGCGCCCAACACAGCGAAAAATTGCAGCACCGCGAACCATCACGACAAGATCCCTAGCTCGCATCTTTCTGCGTCACCTTTCGAGCCAGATCGATCCGTGATGGTCCGGGGGCCCGATGCTAGCTGCAAAACAAAATCAAAACGAGCAAGGCCCATGACATCGCCAAAACACCGTTTAGCTCGCGCCCTGGGGTCCCTCTGAGAACGATTGCTTAGACGCCCGAAATGGGTAATTACGGAACAAATGGGCACAATACTCAACACCACATGCTGTTCAAAACAGAGAGCAGCCGCTGTTGGGCAGACGGCCTTCTGTCTCAAATGGACGACGCCCGCGGCGACAACGACAATGAGTCCTCTTCAAAATCGGGGATCTACTGACCCGGGTCAATCCAGACCCGGGTAAATCGAGCGTTGCAGGATCCTGCACGATCCTGCAAAATCATGCGCAATCCTGCACGGACAACCGAGGCCAATGCACCCCTGGCTCTGAAGGATCCTGAAAGATCCGGCGTTCTGACTGACCCCTGTTTGCATGGACCCACGTCTCTCGAGCCCCGATCAAAAGGAACAAGAACTGCTGCTGGTCTCCGTGCCCACTCTCCCCGTGCCTACTTCGATCGTGCGGAAACTGCGCGCGCCGCGAACCCCGCGGCCCGCAGCCCCGGAAGCGCCCCGCAAGCTCCCCTCCAGGGCCACACCCACGGCTGCAAGAACGGCGACGAGAACCCGCGCGCCGGCGGACTGGCGGCGTCAGCAGCGGAGCGGGCAGGCGCCCGTGACCCACGCACGGAGCAGGCGGGGTGGCCGCGCCCAGCGATCCGAGGGTGATCCAAACCGGCGCGGGCCAAGACGGACACGGAGGGGAGAAGGAGGAAGGGGGGAGGGAGGGAGGGAGGAGAAGGAGGCTGAGGAAGGATGAAGAGAGGATAGAGAAGGTAGTACGATTAGGAGGGGAGAACTGGAGGATGGAGGGGGGAGGGAGCAGGGAGAGGAGAGGAGCAATGCAATCATGGAGGTGGGGGAGGGGGAGGGGAGACGGCGGACGAGGGGGAAGGGTGGAGGAGCAATGGACGGAAGAAATAATGAAGATGCTGCAGAGACTCCAGAGCGCCGCAGCAGAAGGCTGGCGGGGATCCTGGTCGTCCCACAGTGGGTCGTACGCGTCGAAGACGGTCAAGGAGTTCAGAGACAGCTCGAGCTCCTCCTGACACTGGTGCGGTCTGGCAGCCCTCTGCCGCCACCTCCCTTTCCAGATGCCCACGTTCTGAAGAGGTCAAGGTGCCAGAGATCTGAAGAGGCTGGAGGGGAGGAAAAAGAGTGGGAGGTGGGGGGAGGAGAGGGATGGGGAGGAGGAGGGAGGAGGAGGGAGGAGGAGGAGGAGGAGGAGGAGAGGAGGAGGAGGAGAGGAGAGGAGAGAGGAGGAGGAGGAGGAGGAGGATGGGGAGGGCGTTGGAGGAGAAGGAGGACGAGGAGTAGGACGGTGAGGGGAAGAAGGAGAAGAGGAGTGTAGGAGGTGGAGAGGAGGAGGAGGAGGAGGAGGAGGAGGAGGAGGAGGAGGAGGAGGAGAAGTGTGAGTAGAAGGAGAACATGAGAACAGGAGGAGGAGGAGGAGTAGGAGGAGGCATAGATGGGTTTCAGTCCTCTCGTGTTACTTGCGGAGGAGCTGTCAGAAGGAATGCATTCGTCAACTCACGACATCTGGGCCCCCAACGCGTGAATAGGGGCTCTCAACCGCGCCTCCTGACACAATTTCTGGTTTCTCCTTTAACAGCACGACCCACAGGCGAATTCAAAACCCGAAGTTTCGCAAAAGAAGTCGTCGAAAAATGAGCACCCCGACTCCTCCACCAGATGGCCCGGAGAATAGCCCTGAGATGTGCCACAAATGGCCCAATCTGCCCAGAACGAGGCCGCAAGCTGCCTCCAGCACCAGAGGCCAATGCGGACGCCACCAAAAGAAGCTAAGCTATCCCCATCAACGCAATAGCGTGTTTACAACACCGCAAGGCCCCGAGAGGTCGTCGTTTGCCGTGTGTGTACGGGGGCACGGTCGATGCATCAAGGTCTCTTGGAGGAAGCCTGCCCGAAACGCTCGGAAGAGATGCGAACATGTGCCAGGTGATCGCACAAAAAGACCGACGACCGCCGCCGAAATCAGACGCAGCAAGACCGTGTGAGCTCATTGCTTTCGTTCACTTCCCCTCGCTCTCCATTTGGCAACAATAAATAATGGGGCGGCTGATTGCTGGGCGCGCCCACTGAGGACACAAACCATTCTTCAACGAGATGAAAGCTGCAGGGAAGCCTGAGAGAGCACCGCTGTTGAACCTGAGTGCGTGACAGTGGAAGTGACCGTGGCCAGTAAAGCCTGGCCATGGCCAGCGGGAGCCCGACACAGCTTGGGCTTCCTCGGGGGAAACTGGGAAATCTGACACAAACTTGAAGCTGGCCAGGGTTGAGCATAGTGCAAGGGCAGGCCTATCAATTTTGCCAGCTTCCCTGCGCAATCAAACATAGTGAATATGCAGGGTAATGGTGTACTGTTCTTGAAGGTCCAGGATAAAACGATTACGGCGGCAGAATCAAGCCGACGGCCGAGAAGACAAGGATGGAATCGAAACCTTGATGCGTCGGCATGAGACAGCCGGATAGTGGCCCCAAGACAACTCAAGGCAGTCCCACTACGCTCCACGGACGATGCGAGGCGACTCCGAGACCGTCCAGGAGGGCGCAAATTCCTTCTGGAGGCCACCAGCCCAAACAACTACAAGTGCCCTGGCAGACACCCCTCGGAAGCCAGATACACTGCGCAATGCCGCTAGCACAACTACTTTCATGTGCATGATGTGCGAGAATGATCGTAATCCAAGTTCCGCCCTATTAACGCCTATGAGCGTTTACCAATGTCCCTAGTAGCACCGATGTCCACCTACTAGCGCCTGTGTCTACTAGCGCCTATAGGCGACCATCGCTAAGCAACAAGAAATGTCAATAGCCAGGGAAGATAAGAACCCATGCCGAAAACGACCCTCACACATGACACACCCAACGACTTGAACGTATACTGCGCTGCCACCTGGGATCGGCCCAACTGCCTCAAAACAGTGCTAGGGCGTCGCGCAGTGGGGGGGGCGAAGAATGGAGGGGCAGCGAGGGCTGCAGAAAAGGGACCCTTTAGGGGCCCTGAAGGGGCCCTCTAGGGCCCGAGCAGTGCACCTGTCTTCCCCCCCAGGGGGAAACATCTACCTGGAATTGGCGATACATCGCCGACAGATCGGCGACGGGCCCCCGATAGTGAATCCGCACGTTCCTGAGGCCGATGCCCACCTAGACGTCGGTCGGAAGAATTAGGTACAAGCATGAAGTAGGAAGGCGATGGAAGTAGATTGGCCTTCCGCTCGCCTCCTGAAGAGGAGGGAAGGAAGAGGGACAGCCACTCGATCCTTGAGGTAGGAAGACGCCTCGAGTAGATTGGGATCTGGGAGGCCCAAAGACCGATGTGTATCGGAACCCCTGATGTGTCGCCTCTTCTTCTTGTTCATCTTCGTTTGCGCCCCCCCGCTGTTCTCGACGCCCTCCCCTTTGGAGGGGGCCGGGGGGTCCAATCTGGATAAGCCCCTGTCTCATCGCCCCCCATCACTTGTGGCGAGCGAAGGGGGGCGCGCTGGATGGCGGGGGGATACGGAGGGGGCGCGCTGGCTGGCTGGCGGGTTGGGGCGGAGGGGGCGCTCGGGATGGGGGGGCGGTGTCGTGCCGAACGGTCGGGGAGGAGGGGGCGCGCTGGCTGGTGGATTCGGTGATGCAGAAGGGGTGTGCGGGGTGGGGGGGGCGGTGCCGTGCCGAAATAAAGGGGTTGGGGCTAAGGGGGCGCGCTGGCTAGCGGGCGGGGTGGGTGGGGTGATGCGGAGGTAGCGCGCGGGATGGATTAGGCGGTGCGGCGCCGAAATAACGTGGACGGAGCTCTAGACACCCTGTGCAAGAAAATAAGATGGCCCCCTATCGCTTGCGCCACAGATTGCGCCCGCGGCGGCTGAGAATAAAACCGTCTCCTTTCGGTTGCGCCATAGGTTGCGCCCTCGGCGGCCGAGAATAAAGGCGTCTCCCATCGGTTGCGCCATAAGTTGCGCCCTTCGCGGCCGAGAATAAAGCCGTCGCGTAACGGGTGCGACCAGTCTGTTCAGCTCAGTTCTGTTCAGCTGAATTCAGTTTACGTCGCGGGCAACAAATTCGGGCTACGCCCGGACACGCCTGCGGGTCATGCGCGCGCGCAATCGCGCGCGCATGTCAAACTCATTCCCGAGCCGCTGGCTGCTGAGCCATTTTCAGAAATAGCCCTTCAACACTACCAGCAAACACTTGGACAAGGTCGGATTTCTGCGCGCGCATTTCGTAAACGTCCAACGCTCACCGCACAACCACCATCCCTGTGAAATAATACAACGCGGCCTTCACGCGCGCGTCTCCACACGATCACATGGATATCCTGTCCAATCAAGCTATGTCCTGACCAGTTCAACACAGAAGTCATCAAACACATACGACAACCATATGGCATAGTATCCAAACCATGTAAGACATGAGATTACAGCGCGACCGCGCGACCTTCCTCACCAGCACCAAAATATCCGGATCATCATCATTCTCATCATCGCCAGCGTAATCATTGCCATCGCCATCATCATCAGCATTGTCGTCATCAGAATCGTCGATGCCGGCATCCTCGGCATTCTGGTCATCACCACCACCGCCATCACAATAACCATCACCATCATCATCGCGATCATCATCAGCATCATCAGCATCTTCATCATCATTATCATCAACATCATCTTCATCATCATGATAATCATCATCCGCAGCATCATCATCATCGTCGTCGTCATGATCATCCCTTGCCTCCTGAACCATTTATCTACATGAGCTGGGTATGCGCGTCACTGTGCGACTTGCGATGCGCGAGCAAGTTCCGACGCGTGAGTAAACCCACGGCCTGCGCAAGTTGTGCGAGCATGCAGGGTCGTCACGCGCGGTTCGGCTAAAATGAGCTGCGTGCGCATATTTTGAAACACATGTGTTGCACCAAAGTAAGTGGACATCGAGAGTACAATAACCTTTCCGGGCAAGAACGGGAAGTGCTGCTTCTCTGAGCTTGCGTGCGCACGCGCGCATGTATTTGCAAACAACGCGCATGCGTGCACATGGATGCAGTCGCCAGGTTCCCCTAAGTGCCCAGATGGTCGCCATTGGTAGCTCGTGTTTAGTGGTTACCCGCGGTTGCTTTGGTCAGGTATTGCGCATGGCCTATGCTTGTGTGTGCGTATGTGCATGTGCATGTGCGTGTGTGTGCCTGTGTGTGTGCGGCTGTGTGCGTGTGTGCACGTGTGTGCGCGGGCGTGTTCAAGGTACGTGCCAGGGGGCCGGGGGGAGGAGGTGAGCGGTGTGCGTACGGGGCGTGTGCCTGGTGGGCGGGCGGGGGGGTTGTACGGTGTGTGTACGGGGTGTGTGCCTGGCGGGAGGGTCGCAGGGTGTGCGTACGCTTTGTGTTTAGTGTAAGTGGTGTATTGTTTACGTGGCGTATGCTCGATATGGGCATTCATGCGCTGGGAGCGTGTTGTACTACTCCTCCTCCTCCTCCAACTCCTCCTCCTCCTCCTCCTCCTCCTCCTCCTCCTCCTCCTCCTCCTCCTCCTCCTCCTCCTCCTCCTCTGTGTGTGCGGGTGTGCGTGTGCCTGTGTGCGTGTGTGTGTGTGTGTGTGTGTGTGTGTGTGTGTGCCTGTGTGCGGCTGTGTGCGTGTGTGCGGCTGTGCGTGCAGGGTGTGTGCTGGGCGCGCGGGACGGGGAGTGTACGGCGTGCGCGCGGGGTGTGCTCTGGGGGGGGCGGGGCGGGGGGTTGTACGGTGGGGGGGGCCGTCTCGGCGCCATCTTGGGCGGTCTTGGGACTCTCTTGGGGGTTCTTTGGGAATTTTCTGGGGCCGTCTCGGCGCTATCTTTAGCCGTCTTGGGGCTCCCTTGGGCCGTTCAAGGGCCTCCTGGGGCGCTCCCGGGAGTCTCTTGGGGCCCTCTTGGTCCGTCTTGAGCCATCTTGGGGCTCTCCTGAGGATCTCTTAGGGCGCTCTTGGGCGCTGTAGGGCCCTGCGGGGCGTCTTTGGGGCCGTTCCAAACAATATCGATTCGGAGTCCCCTCCGGGGTTGTTTTTGTCAAAA